GTTTTTGTTCATTTTCATATTTTTCCGGGTGTCGTGTCACGCAGCCGAAAACCCGGATAGCCAAAAAATAAAATTGGTCCCGGATAGACGAAAAATAAATTCGTTCCCGGATAAACGAAAAATTTATTCGTTCCCGGATAGCCGAAAAATAATTCAACTATTAAGCGCCCCCATACGGAGGGCCCAAATTTAGGGCCTCCAACCCAAATAAAAATGACAATGCAGATGCGGATCTAGGATTTTCTCAAGTGGAGGGAGGACAAACTTTAAAAAAAAAAACAGGCCCAAAAAAGCCGTTTTTAGGATGTTTTGAAAAATTTTGATTAAATTAGTATATATTGAAAAAATTAAGTAATCGTCAGTCGAAAATGGATGTCATAAAAAATACCAAATAGGGAACCTTTGGGTGGTCAGGGGGGCGAATCTCTGTATTAGCCGGTCTTTTGTTGTTAATTGATTGGATCTACTTAACAATTGCCATCCCCCTTCTAAGAAAGGGGGCAATTGTTAAGTAGATTAAAATGACGCATTTTCCTTCAATCAGATTGCAGCAAAAAAAACGATTCTTAGATCTGGCAACTAAACCGACGAAAGATAAGCAGACAAATAATCTGCCTATTTTTTAAACCGGAACATTTACGGTCTAAAAAAACAGGTCCTAGTCAGATTTGAACCCAAAATTCCAAAGCGTATACTTAAGCTCCAGGCTAAGGGAGCAGGAGACACTAAAAAACATGAATACAGTATGAACTAAGGTACCACGAATCCAGATGAATCCTGTGGACAAAGTTGCTTACAGGAAAAAAAAAGTCGGATTAGGGGGGAGATAGCTCAATAGGTACTTCAGACATAATTATAACCACTTGAAAATAGTTTGAATGATATGATAATGTGAACGAGCTTCTCCAATGAATATGGAACGCCAACTTTTTACAAAATCAGAGCTCAAAAATTACTCTGAGTGAAAACAAACTCAATAAAATTGAGGCACAAAAAGCGACTTTTTGGTCCTAAATGGGAAAAAAGCTATTGCGTACAATCGTAAGGTGCTGCAGAGAACTTTTTTGGTATTCAAATACAAGTTTAGAGCACCAAGCCTGATAACTCGTTTTCCTCGATGACAGGCAAGAGTCCCCAAACAAATATGTGCAAATTTTTTCCTAATTTTTCGGTTTTTTACATTTCAAACTTTTTCTCGATACTCAATTAAAATTAACTTCAGCCGGTCAATTGATTGCGTGCCATAAACACATCAACCATCCAATTGCGTTTGCTGACGTGTTTTTTAAGCGTTTTGCCATTTTTGCTTGTGGGAGCTCAATTAGTCATTACGGGGGGGGGGGGAAGGAGATTGCTCAATCGATCCAAAAAGTCTAGTACCCGATTGCAAAAGCCTTTGCTTATTGCAAGGGTAATTACTAAGCAGTAACATTTAAATACCTACTAATAGCTTAAAATTTTGAACATCATCCAAATCAAATTGTTTTGACTTACATTGACCGAAACTCTTGGAGAAATACTGTTTTGACAAATTCTGGTTTCAACGCGTTTATTGATGATATTTTCCTGAAAAAAAAGAACAAATATATTGAAGATAATTAGAGTTTTAATTTTGGAATAATGACCTTCATTATCAAAAAGCTAACCTTTAATTGTTATCTTGGTGTTTCTAAAGATTCAGATTTTCTAAGGATATGATTAAGTTATTCGAACGTCAGATACTTATCTGAAAATGAAACCGTACAAAATTATCACTAAGACCAACAGAAACACTACACTGGATGTCGTACCCGACATTCACTGAGCTCACTACCTCTATTACCCAACGCCCACAGAGGTCACGGCCTCTGGTACCCAACGCCCACCAAATTCACGCCCTCACGTACCCAATGCCCACCGAGTTCACGTCCTCTCGTACCCCCCATCGAGTTCACGGCCCCTCGTACCCAACGCCTACCGAATTCACGGCCTCTTGTACCCAACGCCCACCGAGTTCACGGCCTCTCGTACCGACAGCCATTCCCATTTAGGTCAAGTATTATTCGATACCCGATTCATACGAGTATTTTGATCGGGTATGATATAGGGGGGGAGGGGGAGGATAATGGTATAGGGGAGATAAGAGATAAAGTTATATGGGGGGGGGGGGGGTATAAACGTGATGGGGGGCGGCAGGTCGATGAACGTTGGTAAGGGGGCTGCAGGTCAAATCTACTTCATAGCCCACAAAAAAACTAATTAATTAAAATTTGAAAAAAAAACTTAAACCCCGGAATCTAGCGAAAATTTGGATTTCACAAACTTTCTCATGTCGCAGAAGGTTCAAAAAATTCTTCTCTGCGATTTGGTATACAGCTGAAAAAACTCGGTCGGACATGGCAGTTACAATGGCAAATGGTATTCGTAAACAAATAAGACTTTTTACAAGTTTTTTGAGGTACATAATTCAACCCCCCCAGTAAAGTAGAATTCAAATCTAATGATTTTAATAAGTCTTCTTTTTGCGCGAAAACCATTTACCATAATAGCTGCCCGCTCCGACCAATTATTTGAAATAATTATTTCCGAGAAAAACAACCCGCTGGTAAAAACAGGTGATCGTACGGACCCTGGTAAAATACCCTGTAATATAAATTTAATTTTATGAATGACTCATACTACTAAATGGGCCAAATAAAGCTAAATTTACTTGTTTTGTCTCAAAACGTCTTTTTTGAGGTCGCACGATTTTAAAATTTTTTGATCAAAAATTTGAAAAAAAAATGTAAAAAAAGGAACAATTGTGAAAAAGGCAATCCGAACTATAACAACCAAATAACATTGTAAAACCAGATAAAACTCTCAGTGATGGACGCCGAGCGTCTAAGGATTTTAATCGATTATAATGGATCATAACTCAAACTCAAATGTTGTGAAATAAACACACAAAAAATCGATTATAATGGATTTTATTGCTTCGAAAAATGGCGTCATTATAATCGATTTTTAATGGATTATAATAGATTATTTTGTAATTTTGTTATATAGACACTGTCTATATAATGACAATATAATCGATTAGGATCCATGGGAGCTCGGTGCGGGAAGACACTCTATTCTGCCTCCGAGATCGGTCGAAGGGTTCGAATCCCGTAAAGGAGTTTTTCTATTTGCCTATGCCTTTGAAACTTTATTTTGTACTTCGTATTGCATTTTAAAGCTCCCGTTTGTCTTTTTTGTGCTTGTCTTTGCAAAGTGCAGCTTCGCCTCGTGAAAATTTTATTGTTAAATGTTAGATAGAGTTTCTATTATAATTACCCTCAAAATTGGCAATTTTTAACAAGAACGAATAGTTTTTCTCAAAGTTAAACTATTGAACTGAGGAATGTTTAATTGATGATTGTCAATGTGTTCTGTTCGCGGAGTTAGCGCACCGCATAAGTCAACAAGTCGCAACGAAAAACTATTAGTCAAAACAGTTTGCTCGCAACGAAAGACAAAGTACAGTATTGTATTGAAAGAGAACGAACAAAATTGATCTGTCATGTCTTTAATTAATAGAAGAATTACATTAGCGTCAAACAGTGATTCACATGCTTTATACCACTCGTACCGAATATAATCGAAGCTACTGCCTCCCTCAGGTTGGACCAAACCTCGAACATTTAGTTGACCCTGCTCCTGGTTCCCGGCGCGGCATTGTTTTGTGTTCAAACAAATACATCGTGTGTTGCTTTACGAGTTATAGCTATTCAAGATTTTTTTTCCGATGCAAAACACAAATTATGGCTCGGCGTCGTTCCAGCTGGAATTTTGAGACAGAAGTTAGACTGATCACCTGCATTGCTTGGTTCTATCGCGAATTGGAGCGTTTGACATCTGAATTGTAGACAGCTTATCTATACGCTGCTTTTAAATGCTTGAATTTAATTTTCACATGTCAGATTTGCGGATTTTCTACTTGAAGCAAACAAAACTACTTTTTTGCACTGTATAGAGCTGCTTTTTGTCGTGTTCTCGCCAATGTTTGCGAAGCGTAGTTTCGCCCTTGTGTAAAAAGTTTAAAAGCGAATCTTCTCCATAGTACAACCTTTGCCTCCCCTGCGCACGAACATACAGCAATATTTCTGTTTCCATGTAATGTTGCTCGCTAATGTGGCCTAATGTTTGATATTACGTTGGAAGTTATGAAGATCAGATATGTTCAGGATAGTTCATGTGACCAAACTGCTATTTTGCATCACATTTCCCTAATGCAATGCTGAAGAGGGAGTGGAAGAGAACTTTCTGCCGCTAAATACTTTTCTTTGTGCAAGTCTTGCTGTCGTCAGTTTGCTAACGAGCGGCGACAACACTGTTTATCATCTTCCATTTTAATACTTTTACATTTTAATTAGTTACTGTGATTTTCTACGCCGACGAGACCAAGTTTATTGGAATTGGGTACTAGACTTTTCACCGGGAACATCTTTTCCATTTTCAAAGTGTTAATTTAGGTTTCAAGTTTGACGTTCCATGTTGTTTAGGGAATGGAAAAGAATCTTCGACGCTAAATGAATGTTATTTCCAAGTCTTATTGCTGTTAGTCTGCTAATAAGCGGCGTAAACAATGTTTAAGAGTATGAACGTAGTTCAGATTCCTATAATAGTCGTTATGATTTTTTCCCTTTTTTCAAGAAAATTTTAAGTAAGCTCAGTCTCAAATTTAATTTTTCGCTGTTTGACTTTTGATTTGTTTTCAATTTCAGTTCATTTTCTTTGATAAAGGGAAAAACTCTACTATCGGACAGCAAAAGTGTAAGGTCACGAAAATCGTGATCGACTTCTAGTTTCGAAAGTGGAGTTTAATTTTCAGATTCCCCAGCGAAATAAAAAATTCATCTTATTGATCCAGTTTTCTCAAGTTACCAATGTACTGTTGTTGATTTTTTTGTGGTTCGGAAATCTCAGGCAGGAAATTAAGCTGAGCTGAAACAAAAAACAACACTAAAAATTTAATGATGTTTTAATTTTTCAGATTTTTCTGTTGGTTCTCATGATAAAATGGAGAGTACGACTGAAGAAGAGTTCGGTATTCTTCGTTCTATTTTCGGAGACGAAGTTTCCATATTGGAGTCGGATCCCTGTCAAGTGTCCATGCAGTTAACACCATCTACTGCCGATGACGCTTCTAAGAAACATGTGTGCATGTCCGTCATTTTCACAATCCCAGCTACGTACCCTCACGAAAAACCAATTGTAACGTTTAAGAATGTTAGAGGTTTGAGTCAAACGTTGGAATCGGATTTGGTGGAAAAGTTAGGCGTTCTTATGGAGGCTAGATTAGGAAGTGCAATGCTGTTTGATGCGATTGATTTTATCAAGGACTTTCTGACTGCGAATAATCACCCCAGTGTAGAATGTGCCATATGTCTTGAGGCTATGAACAGTGATTCGGCGTTCATTAAGACGACCTGCTTTCACTATTTTCACCCCTGGTGTCTGTCACAGTACCTGAAGAGTACTCAGCAAGTAGAACGGGATGAAAATACGGACCCAGAGACAGTCGAAAAGACAGCAAATGCATGCCCCATTTGCAGAACTCAGCTGGAACTGACGGTGGAACATCTGGACTCCTTCGAAAAACCAGAAGAAACTAACGATGGAAGTCAGGGTGCTGCTGCGCCAATACAGCTAGGTTAGATGATCTTTGGTTGGTACAACTAATACAGAAATATATACATAGTAGATTACGTAGTAGATTAAAGTCGTCTAGAAGAACAGAACTTCTCGTCATATTAATGAAAGTCTAAGATACTAAGGATTACTTTCGATCGCGGAACTTTTTTTTTGTCTAAATAGGATTTTTAGTGTTTTTGGAGCTCCAAAAATCAAAATTATTTTGAGCGTTTTTTGAATTCACGCCGCTCGAGAAAATCCGCGCCTGCTTTGCTTTTTAAATCAGGAAATTTTCAAAATACGAAAAACAAATAAATACATTATTTATAATAGAAAGAAACGAGCATTTAGTTAGCAATTGAATTTTTGCAGATTGTAAGAAACAGTTTTGTTTAGGCGAGGAGTTTCGCAAATTCCAACAACAAATGCAACAACTGCTCGAGAAGCAGAAAGAACAAGGTGGCATAATAGACCCTTCGTCCTCTACTAACGTTGTGATTGACGTCTCCAGTGCCAGTAAAAAGTCCTCGAACCATTCCAGCGACTCGAGCAACCAGCCGAGTACTTCAACTATCGGCGGAGAACTGTCAAATGAGGAATTGAAAGGTCCGAATACTCTTCATTCTGACGAAGCACAGGACTTCATAGCTGCGGTTCCCAGCCAAACAGGTCCAGAGCTGAAAGTTGGCTCTTTTGTCAGCAGACGAGGGTACACGAAGAACCTGAATTCGTCTTATCCACTCAACAGTACATTCCGAAAAAGCACATCGAAAGAGATCAATCCTGATTTCAGACCCAGAAATCTGAGCGCTAGTTACAGCGTGGGATCAAGTGAACCACCGGCCCCAAGAATTGACCATAAGTACCACGATGGTCGTTGGAGGCCAAGAAAGAAGCATGATTTTGAAATTCGGGCCGAGTTGCTTGAAAAATCGAGGTCACTGGACGAGCAGAACTTGGCTGCTGAAATTCAAGAAGAGGCTGAAAGTTCCGTTGTTGCGGAAACTTCAGTAAAAGCTAGTAATTCTGCCGATCAAGTTCCGCGGCCGTCCGCTAGTGCAAGCAACAGCAGCGTTGCAACGGGTTCTTCAAAACAAGGCAGTAAAGACAGCATTCAAAGCAGCATAGTTGAATTTAGAAACGATCATTCAAACTTGCAACATACAGTTTCAAGTCCAGGCCCTATTGCAGAGAGAACGATGTCCGGTCAAGGTCACGTTTCTCCTCGAACTGATCCGATGAGTCAACCTATCACTCGGAGAGTTAAAAAGAAACCCCCACTCAGTGTTACAGCGAAGTCGAACTTCTCTGGAAACTTGAGCCATACTTACTCGGAAAGCGACTACTATAGTAATTACGGCTACGACTACAGAGGTGGATCGGAACATTGGTACTATGGCAATGGAAGTGGAAACAGCTCGGAAGGATTTTACGGTGGTAATAACCCTGAAATCTACAGGAACAGACATTCGTATCACGGCAATAACAAAAGAGGCAAAACTGGATACCAGGGGCGTAAAGGTCACAACAGCTCAGGTACTTTCATTTCCTGATTTTTTTGATGTTCTGTGATAAAAATTTCAAAATAGGTGGCTGTAAAAGTTCATTTGTTCTTCTTGCAAATTTTGCCCCAAATTTGGGATGAGTATATTATTTTCTGGTCCTCATGGCTAATTTTTCAGGTGACACTTGAGGATTCGTGATAAAGCTCCGTACGTTATTCGACTATCTAAATTGTTCAGCTCTCATCTTTGAACTGTTTTCACTCTACCCACTTTAAATAAATACTGTTGTTTTAGTAGCTTTATCCGGTGATACCGGTATTATATGCAAAAAAAATTCAGGAACTTAGTCTCATTATTTGGGCTAGAAAAAGCTTTCGGATACTGAGATGACAATGACGTCTGAAGTTCTTGTTTCTTTGCAGATTCGTACGGGAACGAAGCGATGTTTTCCGTTGCACCCTCGGAGATTTCCTAGTGTAGGATCAATCATTCACGGTATGTTTTAACGGAGTTTGGGCAGTGGGTTCTAATATGAATAGTATTGGGTTTTTTGTTTATTAACCTTTCACTGGAGATTTGAGGGTGATTATTAGTTAGAATAATATCAATAATTTGATGTTTGGTGAAAAGTAGTGAAATTTTATTGCGATATATATTATTAATTGATATTAACTTCAAATTATTGACGCAGATTTGATTGCATTGGGGAGCAGTGGTAAAGTGGCTATTGAAAATGCCTTCATGATCCGTGCTTGTTACTTGAGGGTGAAAAATTTTTGAAGAACCAGTATAAAAGTTTCATTTTTCTTCTAAATTTTGCCAATTTTTCAAAATGAGCTCAAACTTAATTAGGTTAAAAAAATTTCAATACTAGATATAATGATACTCGATTCTTAAATACTAGTGAATTTTCAGCCGAATTGGTTTGGTATGTTAGCCGTTTTTTTTCTCTAAATTGACCATTTAAAAAAAATAGTCTGAAAACCGAAAAAATTCAGACCATTCTTTTTAGGATCCGAATCACGATCAAAAGGGCTTGAATATGATATTACCATTAAGCCCTGTACGAGATTTTCTTGACGTAGACAAATTGACTGGAAAAAACCGACCAGAATTTGAAGTTCCTACCTACTCTTTGAGAGTGGTCGGAACAAGTTTCCACCAAGCAGCGCAGCAGTGGTTTGCGGGAAAAAGACAAAAACTCAAGATTATTAGTCTGGCTTTATCCCTACAGGATAAATTGTCCTAGATGATTGTTTAATAACATAACCGGCTCTCCTTGTTATTTTTGAATTATGTTATTAAACAATCTACATAACAAGATAAACGAGAAAAAAGGATAGCCGGTTGCTGTGCAAGCAAGTAGCACAGACGGTTTCGACCACATTAATTAAAAAAGTGTTTTTGTTTTGTTTTTTTTTTCTTCAAATTAGTGTCGGTTTTAGTGCGTGTTGTGATTTGAGAACTCGCGTATGAACTTAGTGAATTAGACATAATCGACAACATTTGTCTTTCAAAAAAATAACAAGCAAAAAATAAAAAAGAAAAGTAATACCAAGGAAGCACTAAATTATACATCCAATATTACTTTTTTTTTTTTCAGTAAAGTTAAAGTTTTATAGCCTTAAAGTCTAAATAAAAGTAATTTTTATATAACGATCGTTACTCGATCGCTTTACTCGCTCAAAATTGATCTAAAATCAAAGTTATAAAGTAATTTTTCTCGATACAGACAACTTTTTTCAAAAATGTTATCGCTGGAATCACGACTAAAAGAGCGATAATTTTGTATATCACTTGAGACATTCCAATGATTCTTTGTGGTACCTGATTTTGCGTGGAAAACAAAAAAAAAGAAAACAAACACGTCCGAATTCTAAGTGCCTCACCAATTTTCAAATGGTCGGAACAATACGTTTTTTTTGTATATTTCGTGCGAAGAATTGTTTAGATTGTTGTTGTGAGAATGCGAGATGAGCGAATGCGTCTTCAAATAAGAAATTTGGTTTAAGTTTGAAGCTATAAATTACAAGTGACTGAATCATTTTTGGTTGCTTTTACAACTGAATTAGTTGAAAATATGTTTTTTGTACATGTAATTGTGTGTCTTACAAGTGACTTAATCAGTTTTGGTTGCTTTTACAACTGAATTAGTTGAAAATATATATTTTTGTACATGTAATTGAATGACATGGAGACGGGTCTGATACAATGAACTTAATAGACAATTGTGAGTCAGTAAAGCAAATTAGGACCAAGGCACCTTATTAGAAGAAAATTTTTAGCCGAGTATTGAATCAAAATTGTTAAGCATTTAGTCGTATTAAGAAATAAGTCTTATTTTTGTTCAATTTGAGGGCAAGCAAGTTGGGAAACATTTATTCGATTACCGCCAAAATGCCTTCATTTTGTTTGCTTAGCTCGTTGTTAAGTTTACTGTGTAGATCAAGCTCGTCTCCTTGTGATTCACCGAGAAGAATAAATGATCACGTTTGTACCTGCTGTCTTGTCTGTGTCTCTCGATATGAGCACTCGCCTGAAATTTAAAAAAAGTTTCTAGCGGTTTTTCTTTGTCATGGAGGAACCTCCTTGCACCTCAAATCTCAATAATGTCCTCTGGATGTTTGCAATAGCCTTCAGCTGAGTGTTTTATTACGAACCTTTTTTCTAACCTAACTGGCAAATAAAAGTGTTCAATAAAAGTGTTCACTTATTTGGAAGTTTCTCTGTAGCATTGGAAATCGGGGCCTAGGAAATTAGACGATAAGCAAATTAGACGGATGCTACAAAAACGAAATTAGACGGAATTTATTTTTTACAGATCTGGCATTTTAGACGAAAGGGAAAGGGCCAACAAAAACTTTTCTTAAGAGTCAAGTTTCACAAATACAAAAAGAACATAAAATGTCAATACCTATCAAAACAATTAGTTTAAATGAACATAAAATGTCAAATCTGAATATTACAGGAGAGTTTTGAATTGAATAAATTATGCATGATTGACTTGTAAAGTTTTTGGCCAGCGAAATTGAGCTGTTGTCTACAAGCAATTTTATTTTTCTAACGCATTTTGTGTGCAAACAAAGTTAATTTGTCTCACTTTCGTCTATTTTCTCACAATTGCAGTTTTGCAAAACCGTCTAATTTCCTTTTAAGTACCTCCGTCTAATTTGCTTGTCGTCTAATTTCTCAACCCCCTTGGAAATCGCATAGCATCTGTTCTCTGCGTTGTGGCTAGTGTCTGGTGACTATGAAGCGTCCCTGGCGTTGTTAGTGTGTGAGACTCTGAATCTCTAGGTCGCAGGTTCGATTTTTAGACGTAGCCAATTTTTTTATTAGTAATTCGAGGCTTATTTCTGATTTTTCTTATTGAACCTTATAGAGCTGATTTTTTTCGTGTTCTCGCTAGTTTTTGCGAGCGATGCGTCGCCTCTGTGTTAAATATGATACTTAATTTGACCTCATTTGTCTTCTCTTTCTAGAATCTGCTTCTTATTAAAAGTACACGACAAAAAGCAGAAGTAGAGCTGCCGTTTGTGGTGTTCCCGCTAGTTTTTGCGAACGAAGCGTCGCCTCTGTGTTAAATATGCTACTCAACTCGACCGCATTTGTCTTTTTTTTTTCTAGAATCTGATTCTTCATAAGAGAACACAGAAAACATAGATGTACAGTAATGTGAAAGAAAAAACACCGAGATCACCTGACCCACAAACATAAATTTCTCCTGCTCGCATCACTACGTAAGCTGCCGTGTAAACAATCAAACTTGACATAAGTCCTTGAACGCAACACTTAAAACACCAGGTAGACTGTCGTCCTTCAAAAGATGCATCGCTCGGCACATCATAGATCTAGTTGATGCAAACGACTACATAAACAAAAGAACACATGCGTATAGTACCGACGAAGGAACACAGGCGGAAATGCTACTTTACTCATCGACATGCGAGAATTGTCTATTTGCTGCGAACAGATTCTTGGTCCACACAATCCCCCACAAACCTCTGCAAATCTCGCTGCAGCCTAGTACGCACAACTTTGCTGTTTTTACAACCAATAATAAGCAATAATAGAGATTCACACTTCCCACTCGATGAGGCCGTGTATAACAAATGAAGCAATGAAGAGAAGTTTCAAACAAATGAAGCAGCCAAGAGACCAGACTTAACTCTTAGTCCCAATAATAGAGATTCACCCTACCAACTCTTACATCAATAGAATCGCTGCAGGCGTCTCAAGCAATTGAAGCAGCGAAGAGAAGTAGCCAAACTCCTCATACTTCGAACATTAGATATTCACACTACCAATTCATACATAAAAATACTTGATGCTGGCGTCGCAAGAAAATGAACAGCGAAGAGAATTAACTTAATTCCTCTTACTCCCAATATTAGAGATTCGCACTAACAGTTCATACATCAACTGATTCGATGCAGTCGTCTAAAAACACATGAAGCAGTGAAGAGAAGATACTTAACTGCTCATGCTTCCAATATTAGAAATTCACACTACTGTTTCATACATCAACAGACTCGACGCGGTCGTATCAAAATAATGAAGAAGCGAAGAGAACTAGGTTAACTCCTCTTACTCCCTATAATAGAAATTCACACTGCTAACTCAAAGGCTAACAGACTCGATGCAACCGTCTCGAACAAATGACGCAGCGAAGAGAAGTAGATTTACCCTTCATGCTCCCTATAATAGAGATTCACACTACGAGCTCATACATCAACAGGCTCTTTGCAGCCGTCTCAAACAAATGGAGCAGCGAAGAGAAATATTTGACCTCATCTGACTTCTGATAATAGCTATTCCAAAAACCAAATCTTACATCAACAGACTCGATGCAGCTGTCTCAAACAAATGCATAAGCGAAGAGAGGAGATTTAACTCTTCTTACTGTCTTTATTAGAGATTCACCCTACCAGCTCGTTCATCAATAGACTCTTTGCAGTCGTCTCAAACAAATAGAGCAGCGAAGAGAAGTAGTTGATCTCATCTGACTCCCGATAATAGCTATTCAAGTAC